ACTTGGGTCATTGACATGCTGAACAGATTATTTACTTCGAAAAAAGGAACCGAAATTTCTGTGTCATATAAATGTTGGTGGGTTCAGTGGTGACATATTTAGCTACTCTAACTTAAACTGTGTTTGTTTACACTGATCACAGGAGGCTGTTGCTGGAGCAGCTGCTGTGAACTCATTTCGACATCTAAAGTGGGCCACTTTACCAACAGCTTCTTTATGAAAAATGTTAAGATATTATTAGTATTTTTTAAAACATTATTACTGTTGTATTTTAAAGTTTCTGTTTGTATGTTTCTAAAATAATATAAAATAATATATATGAAAATAAATAATACTATTATGCATTCTACATAGAATAAAAAATAAAATAATAAAAAAAGCTATTCTTTACTAGAGTTTTGTTATCATAGCCAAGACATCTTAAGATCCGTGTCTATAGACATAAAGACGTCTTCATTTCTTCAGACATGCCTCAAGATGTCCTAAGACACCTTCATAATGTGTCTTTAGACATGTCTTAAGACATCCCAAGACCCAATGGTAATGGCTGGGTATAATTACTTCTCTGTCCTAAGACGTTAACTTGCATGTCTCGAGACCAAGACAGCGTCTTCACTCATATGTCTTAAGATGTTCTTGAGATGTCCTGACATAAAAAAATGTCTCAAGACATCTTGTCTAATACTGTCAAGACATCTTAAGACACAGTGACAGCTGTGAACCAGAGCTTGGAGACTTGGCTGCAGCAGGTTGAGCTCCAGCTATAAAAGGGCCTGGGAAAGCAAGAGGGCTGTTGGTTGCTTTGGTCGTTGTACGTGCTACCCGCCCAGATCAAACCCAGTACACTGGTTTAGCTTGTCTTAATCAACCCATGACGTCTCTTATAATGAATCGTGTAAGTTTTGAAAGTAGGGGTGAGTGCCCTGTTTTGTTTGCTACTGTTTTCTCCTGGTTTGGTTCAGGTAGACAGGGTAGTTGTTTGTATTGTTCTTTTTTGTTTAGTTTGATTTTGTTTCTAGCTGGTTTTGGTCATAGTTCACCTCATCCTATTATATCTTATATTGCATCTAATCAGTAGATGTGTAACGTAAACAACTTTATCTCTTTTCTGCTGTTTCTTACTATCTTGCCTTTGAATTCAAGTCTTATTGACAAAAGAAATAGATGTTGATATTTTGCCCTCTTGATTTACATTTACATTTACATCATTTAGCAGGTGCTCTTACCCAGAGCGACTTACAAAAAGTGCTTTGTCTACCTAGAGAAAGTATCTTTGCTAGTTACAAATAGGTTAGAGAGAAAGCCAGTCCTGAGCTCAGATACTGCAAGAAACAAAAGTCCATGTTGATACCTAGAGAAAAAGGAACAGAGTTAAACACAGCGCAGTGCAATACAATAGATTTCAATAAGTGCAGTACAATACATTACAATGAATACTTAATTCAGTGCTCATTTAAGTGCTGTATAAAGAGATGAGTGTCTTCAGTCTGCGTTTGAAGACCACGAGAGACTCAGCTGTTTGGACAGCCAGTGGGAGTTCATTCCACCATCTGGGTGCCGGGACAGAGAAAAGTCTTGATGCTCGTCTTCCATGCATCCTGAAGGGTGGCGGGTCAAGCCGAGCTGTACTTAAAGCTCGAAGGGCTCGAGGTACTGGTCCGTTTTTGGCTTTGTAGGCAAGCATTAGGGTTTTAAATCTGATGCGTGCAGCTACAGGAAGCCAGTGAAGGGAGCACAGCAGTGGAGTGACGTGACTCAACTTAGGAAGATTGAAGACAACCCGTGCTGCTGCATTCTGGATGAGTTGCAGAGACTTGATGGCCTGCATAGCCAAGACCAGCCAAGAGCGAGTTGCAGTAATCAAGCCTTGAGATGACAAGAGACTGAACTAGCACCTGGGTGGCCTCTCGAGTGAGAAAGGGTCAAATCCTCTGGATGTTGTGCAGGAGAAACCTGCATGACCGAGTTAGGTTCACAGTATGAGCTGAGAATGATAACTGGCCATCCAGAATCACACCAAGACTTCTTGCGTCTTCAGACAGAACAATCAGAGAGTTCTCGAATGAGATGGCAAGATTATGATGAGGGCCTGTAGTTGCAGGGATTAATAGAAGCTTAGTCTTGCTAGGATTGAGCTTCAGGTGGTGAGCTGCCATCAGTGAAGAGATGTCAGTCAGACATACCGAGATGCGACTGATCTGGGTCATGGTGTTTTGGTCTGGCGGTTGGCTTGGCATTTGGCCTTGTTTTGTAAAACCTCTTTTAAAATCCCCTATGAGGTCATATTGTACAACAAATGGATATGCAGCATTTTGGAATGAGACTCGTCCGGTGAGGATTTTGCAATAAAGGTTTTGGCTCATTTTAAGTGATTACAGCGGGGTTGTGGTGTTGGAGGCAGATGTCTGCAGGACTTGCTAATATATTTTCATCATCGAATGACAGGAGAACTGTTTACATGATAAAATACACACCTGAAAGTTGTGCATTATGTGCTGTTATTTTTATTCCAGTTCAGAAGGATTTGCCAAGTGTCCCACATTTACTTCTCCCCTGCATATCAACTCCCTGCTTTATCGCCAACGTAGACACAGACAGTCCTTCAATGAAGGAACAAACGTAAAATGGCAGCATGTTCTTCAAACTGTCAGTAGTTGCAAAATACACAAGTTGTGCCTGTTGTGCTGTGTGGAATTGAAGAGCAGCAGAACGCTGCAGAAAGAGAGAAGAAGCAGGCCGAGAAAGAGCTAAGGAGGCAGAGGAAGAAACTGGAGAGAGAGGAGGAGAGAAAGAGGAGGGAGCAGGATGAGATGAAGAGAGAGGAGCTCCTGTTTCAGAAGGAGAAAGAACAGAAAGAGTGTGAGAGTCTGGAGAAAGAGAGTGATCTCACCAAACCAGTGGAGGAGGAGAGCAAGACTGAAGCTCAGGGTCAGCAGGAGGAAAAGAAGAGACTGACCAAACTGAGGAAGAGAGAGTAGAGGACGATGAAACTGAAGAGGAGGGAGGAAGAGCAGAAGATGGAGATGGCCAATAGAGTGATAGAGACTGAGAGAGAGATGGTGGAGAGGAAGCCTTTGGTGAAGAAGAAGAGGAGAAAGGAGAGGATGAGTGCAGAGATGGAGAGAGAGCAGGAAGTGGAAGAAATACTGAATCATCATGACTTGCTAAATATTTGAAGACATTACAAAGAAACAATTAAACACAAAGGCACACACACAAACACACACACACCCACACACACCATGTAAATATGTAAATAAACATGAAAATAAATGGTGTTGTTTTAGTCATAAACTCACAAGAATGTATTAGCAAATAGGTTAAAAGTTGACTATCAGGTGGAATGACAATCAATTTTCTGTATAACAATGGCATTAATGAAATGATCTACAAAGATTCTGACTCTATAAAACTTGTTAATGTAGGCTTGCTAGCTAGAAAAACCTTATTGCTGTACCTGCTACTTAGCTTTGTAATTTTACTTGTCTGGGGAGATAACTCCAAAGTTATAGCCTACTGACAAAATAAAATAAAATAAAAATGTAATAAAATTAATTTAAATTTGAATAACCAGGCTAATTGACACAGGTATATGCAGGTCTCGCTTATGATGAACGTTTTTACTTTGACTGACATTATTTTTCCGCCGTCATTGTACTACTTGACAGATAGTTTGCATAAAAGACTTTACTTTATATGCAGTGTTTACATCCATTAATATCCATCTGGTATTGACATCTTTGTAAGCATCTGAGCACTTTTCTTGTGTTGGTATAATAGTTGTAGAACTGCAATTACAGAACTGCATTATGCACTGATTGTGAATTTCCATGGCTGATTCAGATTTTTATACTGCTGAACAGGCTGATGGTCCACTTTTATTAGCCTTTAATTTAACCTGGAGCTCACACTGTGTGGGCTAAATGAGCACATGAACGTCACTAGCACATCATATACTTTCTTTTAGCCTAAGTTATGATAAAAGTATATATTAATCTGTTCTTGATTTAATGCATAAATCACTATGATTAATTTACAAAATGTGATCAACCTCAACATTTTTCAGAGGGAATAAATCCCAGAAGTGCAGTCACCTTGATTAAATTATTTAGAGTCTTCTTTAGTAAAATTGTTGATGTTAGGTTTCGACCAATCATTTGATCAGGGAAGAAAAAAGAGAGGAAGGGGGCACCTTCCCGTATGTTACACTGTATGTACAGGGTTACTACAGTGTTATGATAGTGAAAGGCAATGTTGGATGTGGGTAATCAGTAGATTCGGGAGAGTTCCTGGTGGGCCAGTAGTATTTAGGGCCTACTGTGAGCTAATATATAAACTCATGCATAGAAACACAAGAATGCGAAGACAAACTATAAAGCCTATTTAAAAGTGTATAATTTAGGGGCTCGTGTAGTATGTAATAATTTTGAGGTTAAATCAGCGGCCCCAACCTCAAGTGGTTGCTGATTGTAACTCGCCTCCTACAGTGGATAGAGATTAGATGAAGCAGAAGTTACTTTCTTATTCTCAAAGTGTTGTAGCAGTTACACTCGGACGCCTGGGTGCTAGTGTGTAACTGCTGCACTATTTAAACTGGAACGGAAATTCTAATAGGAAGCCAACATCAAATTCAGTGATGTGAATCTGGTGCTGATACACAACAGTCAGTGCTCTATAGAGTACATCACCCTGCAGCAGTTTTCAAACGTGAATCATGTCAAGATAGACAGCAGCAGCAAGAACAAGGTGGCACTGAGATAACAAGCATCAAAAAGTTACTTCAGGAAGAGGACATATCCGAGCAGGTGGGCAGCATGAAATGCTGACCTTAACTTACTTAGCTAGCATATTAATAATAAAATAAGAGTAAGAAATGAAGAGGATAAAAATGCCCAGATTTGCATCATGTAAGTGCCGCTCTGAAAACAGGTCACTCTGGCCCTGGTGAAAGGTATTTTACCACCAACATGACTGTTCTCCATCAATCACTTTATTTATTGCATAATTCATGAATAAATGATGAAGTCAGTGACAGGTTACAGCTGAGTCATGCATTTATAAACCATACAAACTGACAAGCAGAGACTGTGTTCCACAACAGTGTAGAGCACTTTACAGAGATTTTGGGCAGTAATTTTAACACACCACGCATGACAGAACACTTTCTCTATTTAAACACTCTAGTTTTTATAATCTTGCCATGACAGGAGTTATTGAGACAGCAATATGTTTTCCTTTTCATCTTTGACTGTCTGACTCTCTCTCACTCTCTCTCTCTCTCACACACACTCTCTCTCACTCTCTCTCTGTATCTCTCTCACTCACTCTTCCGCTTTAGGCAACTCTTCTGCTGCTTCTGCTGATGCCTCTGCGTCTGTATTGGGCAGAGCTGGAATTATGGGTGTGGTGTCCCATCCAGGTGTAACAGGAGATGTTGTGGCATCAACTGACTCCGTCTCTCCAGCAGGTAGTTTCAGAATAACAGAGTCTGGGTGAGATAGTACTGGTAAGAAAGCTGCACTGTGTCATCTTAACACTCTATCGTCGTAGTCATACCAAAACATGTTACTTTACATGTGAACGCTTTCTGATGAGTGGTCCAATAGAAATTTTAGAAACCAAACCTTTTAAGTTTATTTACAGTTGCATTAGCAGTGTTAACATTTTATTTTCTTTTTCTGTAAAGATACAGTTTCAAACATACATACATAAGGTTCCCTAAAGACAACTATGATATGACAGCTATGAGATACTGAATAAAGTCATAGGCAAAAGCATGAACACCCTTGGTCAAAATGCATGTTTTGTTTTCTAAGTGAAAAATAAGTTAACATATCCTCTACAGAGAACACACTTAAATATGGATTTATTTCTTCAAATTTTAGTAAAGATAATATAAAATGTGCCACAGCTGGCCCCAGGCATTTTATTTTATTTCTTTCCCAAAATCTTAAATTCAGCAAAGAATCAGTAAATAGGCATTAAAATATGCAAAAGTGTGTTCTCTGTAGAGGATGTGTTACTTATTTCCACTTAGAAAATCAATAAAACATGTCCTTTGAGTGGGGGGTGCCTAAACTTTTGCATATGACTGGATACAATTCAGAAATGAATGAACTCTCACCTTTCCTCCGCGTCACTTTCTTCTTCTCTTTCTTCTTGGTTTTCTCCTCTGGAGTGGGGATGGGTGAAGTGGGAGAGAGAGGTGCTGTGGAGGTTGGAGTTTGTGGAGCAGGTGTAGTGGAGGTTGAATGCTTTGATTTGGCAGGTGTTGGAGGTTTAGACAAAAGAGCAGTGGGAACAGATGTTGTGGGCCCAATCACCACATTGCCTTCTGCATCAGCCAGATATGAAACCACACCCAAATCACCCATGTTGTCTGTCACGTTTAACTGGCAAAGACACATAAAGACAACAGTGTTAAAGAAATGTGCCGATATGAGGTGAAGAATGTAGGATAGTTTAATACTTGATAGCTGGTAATCACACACCAAACTGTCAAAATGTGAAGACTAGCATGCAGTTCTTAGTGCTATTTTTAGTATTTAGAGTATGTAGAATAATTTAGTGTTTTGGCTAATAATTGACCATGAAGTTTAAGGTAGAGAATAGTAATTTCTTCCATCGCACACATACAAACATCGATTATCTAATGTGATTATATTATGTACAGTACTGTGCAGAAGTCTTTCAATCTCAGCAGGGTGTTTTGCCAGTAAAAACATAATATGCATGAAAACAAATAAACATAAATACAGCAAAAACAATTTTAAAAATATAGTTGAGAAGTTGAACCTGCCCAATTCCCTTGACTTTGTGAGAATATTCCATAACAAAAATGTTAAAAACACTCTTCCGTCTACTACAGTTACAGCTTTGAATATACAAGTTTTTTTTTGTGAAAGCTGTGACATACCGTTAACACACTGTATGTATAGGAGTTCAAATCTCAAACGCTTACCTGAGAGCGTGACAGATGGAGTTGGCACATTTTAAACGTGAAAAGTCAGTTCATTTTTGTTTTTAAGAGACAAACCTGTTCTGTGTTTCTAGTATAATGGGGTAGAATGTATGATAGTATGATATTAACCTTCCTTAAGTTCTGAAGTACATTCTGTGGCAACTCTAATACCAACCAGTTGAGTAGTGTGCAGATTAATTAAGAAGTACCAATGTTAATGAATATGGAATGTAATTCAGACAGACAATCCACAGTCTACGTTTGTAACAAGCATGCCTATTGGCTCACAGATGCCGATAAGACCAAATACTGATATATTGGTACTGAATGACTGACGTTTTCAGTACTATTTTGGTCAGTACCATAAAAGCATTGAATTTTGATTCCCAGCGCTAAAGATCTTCTTGTTCAGGTGAAATCAGCGCATGGCATAAAATGCTCATCATCGGCCTAAAGACTTCTTATATCTTTGATCACTGAATGAGGTATTTCCTCACTTCACTCACCCTCTCTGGTTACAGATCTTGCTCCACTGATCCACTGACTGTACTTGTTCCTGTCTTTGAATGTAACGTCTATTGATCTCTTTCATTAGAGACTGACTGCCAGACTCATTCTACATTCTTTATGGTACTACTTAGGGCCATCGAGCACATGTTGTCTGTGGATTTTGTGTTACATGAAAATAAACTGTAACTGAACAATTTCATTCCAAAACACTGTATATCAAATTTTTGAAAATAATTTTGGATATACGTTTATAACTTTAGATATTTATTCTATGTGTAATGCCCACTACCATCAACGTATGAAAAAATGAAATGGTCTACAATGTGGTCTATTATGCTTTTGTAATGAAACCCTTCAACTACACACTGTCCAAAAGGCGGTTCCTATATTAATGTATCAGCAGTGTGAGTTTATTGTTAAGCATTTGGATGTGACCCGCATGACGTCCATTTTTGCCTGCAGCAAAGAGCATTCTTTCTTGATTCCACAAGTCATTACTGACTAGCTAGGCTAAAGTAAGCAAACCTATAATGGATCTATTTTATAAGAATATTAATAATAATGTGAACTTCATCTGCATTTTGACAGATTTTTAAAGATCTCTTACAGTTAGTGTTTTAGTCTAAATGCTTGTACAGTAGAACAGTGTTCTACTGTACGTACAGTGGCCCCAAAAAGTATTTGGACACACTTAAATTTATATTAAGTTCATTGTGTTGAAAAACAAAAGGTCAAATCAAGTGACATTCATTTTAAACAGACCATTCCAAGACCTTTCTAAAGGCAGCTGGTGTGTTTTAGAACATTATCCTCACTTTCCTGGTTTTCCATCTCCTGTACCTTACGATCAACTAATTAAGGCCTTCTCCATATTCCAAGGATCAAACTAAATTCTATAGGTGGTCAATCATTTACTGTAGTGGCTCCCAAATTATGGAATTCTCTGCCTCCTCTCTATTCTCATTTAAATCTCTGTTAAACATGTACTTGTTATCAATGCTGTCAATGTTTATGGTGAAGTTGTCTTTGAATGTAATGTCTATATGTGTCTGATAGTAAAGTCTTTTGTTGTTAATTGCATACCTTCTGTTTAGTGTTTTAATGTTCTATGATGGTAAAGCATCTCTGAGCATGTGAAAGGTGCGCTATAAGTGATGATGATGATATTCATCATGCTGACAGTTCCATTTCTGTCTTTTGTGCAGTTTCTTTGTGGACTTCTGCAGGTTAGCATCCAGAATGTCTTTGTACACTTTTGTGTTTAATGGGAGTTCATGATCCCATTAAAAAAGCACAAGCTCTCTGACACAAATGTAAGAAAAACCCAGACTATGACGTTTCCACCTCTGTGCTTTACAGTACTCTTAGTGCAGTCTGGCTCAGGCTTTCTATGCACAAAGTGCCTGTGCTCAGTTTGATGTTGTGCTGAAAGTGTTTTTCTCTAATACAAATATAAATTTGTTTAACATTTTATGAAATAACCTCAAGAACATTATAGTTTACCAAAGTTTTTAGTGCCCAAATACTTTTGGGGCCACTGTATTTTGTGGATAAGGGGTGGAAAGCCCTTTTAAAATGATGTTGAGCTAAATGTCATTCACATGAAATAACATGGCTCATAACAAATCAAAGGCCTATCACCAGCATGCTAGTTTTCCATCCATTTGATCATTTTAATTGTTTGAATTAGTCTTTTAAGACTATAGACGGCACTGTTTCTAAACAATGTTTCTATTCTTTTAAATTGTTTTTTTTCTCCTTTCCCAGGTCACACCACCTCATGCATGTCAATCTCTTCCACGCATCAATTCAATAAACTATTTTAAATACTAATAATATGGAACGTTACAGTCTCTCAAATTGCTGAATTGTGCGTTTCTTTCTCTGTGCTTTTTCTTGTCTGTGTGTCAGTTAGGCAGAGAAACGGTGTGTATTTTGTGAAACGGTGTGTGTGTGTGTGTGTGGTGTGTGTGTGTGTGTGTGTGTGTGTAGTGTTGAAAGTTGGGCACTCCTGTGCTCAGGTGTCCAGAGGAGGGTCATCCGTGTCAGGTGCAGGACTGTGAGCGAGGAGGGATGAGTGTGCAGTGGATGGAGGGAAGGTGTGGAGGAGAGCGAAGACAGCAAGAATGATACACACTGAAATCACACAGAGAGGGAGGTGAGGGAATATGTGCTCCGTTTATTGGAAACGAGACAGACACAGCGATGTCATCACAGTGACAGAAACGTTAATGTAGTGATAAGTGATGTCATAACTTCTGTGCAGTGCCAGGAAAGTGGCGCTGAACCTTATGCAATGTAAAGGAGGTGCGAGAAATGATGTTATAACTACTGAAACGTGAGAGGATGTGATGTCATAATTACTGAACAGTGGTTTATTAATGAGGTGACACAACAAAACGCATAATCTACAGACATTCCTAACTATAAATGTAACAGCGAAGTGATTCCACATTTTTCGGAGCATCAGTTTTTCCCTTTAGATCAAGGCTTTAAAGGTTTCATGCACAAATCAGTGCTCCAGATCTTTCCCAATAAAGCTACAACACACAAACACAACACAACAAAATGCTAAAACTAAAGTGCTGCCCTAGTCCTGAGTGAGACCACACAACATAACAGACACCATTAAAGGCATTATTGGCTAATATTGAGAGAGAAACTGAGTTATGCCGCTAGGAAAGGCACAAAGGACACTGATCAAGTCCACATTTTTGTTTGGATTCATGGTAATTAGCTGTAAGGCACTGATTACCTGGCTCAGATCTGTTCAGAAGTGGAGCAGAACTAAAACAGGGGCTTGCAAAGTGTTATCGGGACTGGAAACCTTTTCCCTTGTGTATTACTTTCAATAAGCTCTACCACATTAATATGATAAAGTATACAATGCACTAGATAGTTTCCCAATTTGTGATACTGGGGCACTACTGTGGTGGTTCGATATATGATTGGACCAAAACGTTTTATCTTCCAAACTTTAACCTCTTTTTAGCACCATTCTGTAACTTTTCTCCCCAGAGTGATAATACCCCTAAACATTGGACAATCCTACTTGAATCCAGGGTTATTTGTTTTATAGGCTTGGTAGAATATTCTTGTCAATGCTAGACATCTAATTCCCAATACTACACTCAGCAAACTCATTTGAAAGGCATTTTTAAATTGGCTCTGTTTGTTTTGACCTTTATACATATTTACTTTTTTATCCCAATCCCGTTTTTGTTCGTCATTTTCTACTTTTTCTTGCCGGGCTCCTCATCAGGGATGAAGACACTTACGGTGAAGTCGCCGCTCTCCGTGCCATACTTGTTCTTGACCAAAATGCTGTATCTGCCCGAGTCACTTGTGTTGACAGTGGTGATGGTGAAGCTGGCGAACTTGCCAGATTCAAACTTGAGGATGTAATGATCGTCCGACACCAACTCTCTCTCGTTCTTCAGCCAGGTCACCTCCGGCACAGGGTCACCCCAGATATTACATGTCAGGTTCAGTGACTGGAGAAGAGCAGGTGGAAACAGAGACAGGTAAGTCATTCCACAAGATCGGTGCCAAATGGAATATGATTTTTTTTTCATGTTAAATAACATTTTGTGCAAAATAAAGATAACTGTAGCCCCATCACATTGAACTTGTGATGGAGGGGGATGTGACTAGGTAAAATATTTTAGGCTGAACTGGCTGCCATGCCTCCTGTTATCAAACGTCTAACATCAGTTTTTCAACAGTTGTCACAACTTTTCTGTGAGTATGCAGTGGTGCACTGGTGAATCAATAACTTGATTCACCAAAATAAAGACTCATATATAATATATTGTTCAGCCCTAATGTAGATGCAGTAGGAGCTGGTACCTTGCCCTCCTGGATAGTAACCACATCAGGCAGACCTCCAGCCACGCGAGCACGATCTGAAGAAGCAGAAGAACATAATGGAAATGAGCGCAGGCTTCAGTGGAGCTGTGTGTGCATGTTTGAGTGTGTAGGTAGGTGAGTGTATGTGCATTTGTGTGTTTACTCACTTCTTTCAGCAATGGCTGCAGCTCTGAAAAAAAGAATTAAAACAAGCAGAGAAAATGGAAGTAATGTAAGTTAGTGAAGCATCACATGTTTAAGCATCCACTCTACATTATTCAAAAGTTTGGAATCTCTTTTTCTTTTCCATGGCAGAAAGTCTAGAGGATATGCCAATATTGAAATAACTGATATTTGCTTTAAAAACTATTAAGCTTTAAAAAAGCTATTGTTATTTACAACACTTCTTTGAAGATAAACATCTAAAAGTAGCTGTTATGGTCCTAAAACTGATAATTGGGGTTGGATGGGTGCTGTCTCTTGCGATAATAAAAACTTATATATTATAGGTTTCAATCTTATAAAC